ACACACTTCTCGGTATATATCTAAAAGATCTTGAAGATATTTGCACACCTATGTTCACTGCAGCGTTATCCACAATAGCAAAGAGATGGAGGCAACCTAAATGTCCCCCATGGCAGACACTTCACTGAGAAGACAATTTGATATAAACATACAATGGATCATATTATTCAGCCTAAAAAGGGAAATCCTGTCATAATCTACCACACTTAGCCAGTCACAAAAAGACAAATACTACATGAGTCTACTTACATGAGATACCCAAGGTAATCATACTCATAGCAACAGAAGGTAGAATGTGGTTACCAGGGGTTGAGGGAGAAATGGAAATGGAGGGAGAGTTGTTGTTCAGTAGATATAAAGTTTCTGTTTTGCAAGATAAAGTTCTAGAGGTTTGCTACACAACAATGTACATATTGTAAACACTAATCTACTGCACACTTAAAAATAATTAGATGGTAAATTTTGTAGGTTTTTTTAAATAAAAATTTATCTGCTCTGTCATTCATGTTATGAGTTTTTTTAACACACACACACACACCCCCCCCACACACAATCTTTGGAATTAGTAAAACTGAAACAAAAAATAGGCAAATGATCTGAATAAGACAACTCACCGAGAAGATGTACAGACCACTAATAAGCATACAAAAAGATGCTCAACATCATATGTCATTAAGGAATTTTATTTATTTACTTATTTTGGGACATGGTCTTGCTCTGTCCCCAGGCTAGAGTGCAGTGGCACAATCTTGGCTCACTGCAACCTCCACCTCCTGGGTTCAAGCAATTTTCCTGCCTCAGCCTCCCAAGTAGCTGGGATTACAGGTAGATGCCACCATGCCGGCTAATTTTTATAGTTTTAGTAGAGACAGGGTTTCACCATGTTGGCCAGGATGGTCTCGAATTTGTGACCTCAGGTGATCCAAAGTGCTGAGATTACAGGTGTGAGCCACCATGCCCGGAGGGAATTTTAAACAAAAACAATGAGATACCACTATACACCTATTACCATGTTAACATTTAAAATGCAGATAACACCAAAGGCAGATACCACCATTTCTGGTGGCAAAGTAAAATGGTATGGCCATTTTGGAAGACAGTTTGGTGGTTTCTTACAAAACTAAACACATTCTTACCATATGATCTAGCAATTGTGTTCCTTGATATTTACCCAAATGAGCCAAAAACTTACATCTACACAAAAAACCTGCACACAAATGTGTGCAACTAGCAAAATGTCCTTTACTGAATGAAGAAGTGTAGGATGAACAGGTTTGTAGGGGAAGTGCAAGATTTGTTTTTACAGCTATTGAGTTTAAGATAGCTATTATCAGTCTCTGTCATGTCTAGTTGCCTACTC